TTAAATAAGGCCTTAGTAATGATCAGTAGGTCCTCGCAGAGATCAGATAATAGCCTATATAATTTTTGTTTATGACAATTAATATTACTTTAACTTTAAACATTAATAAATTGTTTATATGCGGGGCCATACTTTCATAAACAGAACAGCTGCAGGTGATATATATAAGATCGAGTTTTCTCCTGGCAGTTTGTAATAAAATTGTTTCGATTTTATGTTAAAACTTAAATTACATTTTAATTGTTCATGCATCATGAAGACGGATCTACGAAACAAACGTTCTAAACATCTCTATTTTAAAACTCCATGCATTTTTAGGCCTCTTTCCTATATGGAGCCTGATGAAAATCACAGTTGTCACGCCATTAAAAGATTTGACAAACCAGATCAGTGAAGGTAAATACTTATGAGGATATGTATATGTATATGAATTTTTTAACATCTGATATTAATGACGTTAAGTGTGTCTTTAAAAAAAAGCAGGTGGTTAAAGTGGATTTAATCAGCTTACACAAGTCTTCGATCCTCGGGAGCGTAAAAGGCAAAGGGACATAGCACGGCTTGCGGCCATGACTGAAGAGCAATGAAACCAAATAAATATAAATTGTAGGAAGCGTCGTGCAGCAATGACGGAAGAACGGAGCGAAATTAATAGGAAGCAACGTGAAGCATATCATAAGAAAAAGGTCGATTCCAAAAACGATAAACTATCTAAAGGTAATATTCTTAGTGTTATTATGTCGTTCTACCTGTAGTGCTCGTGTGTTTAATATTAAAAATCTAAACTAGCGTGCAACTTGTTTGTAGACGGTGATGTTGCAACCAACATTGAAAACACAATCGACGTTGAGAATAATGATTGGCTCCATAGTAACCAGTCATACAAACCTGTGCGAATCGGTAAGGAGAACACATGTATTGAAATATATATATATATATTATGAGGTGTTGTCTAGGAGTACAGTGTCACCTCATAATAATGAAGAATATTGCTTATGTAGGTGAATGCTCGGCGATGAGTGTAAAAAACAGTAGCATTATTGACTTGACTAAAACACCATGTACAAAAGATTGTGTGGACACCAATCTGAGTCATGATTGTGATACCCCTACTACTTTTGATAAACCCCGTCAACATTACTTTAGGGAACGATATGTAAATATTACACCAGAAAGAGGGAGGCTAGACGCGAACAACGAAAGAGTTATAGGACGCCAGGACGAAAGGAGATCAAAGTAGCGGGTAATAGAAGATGAAGGGAGGTGCAAAAGCACACCCTGCACTCGGAGTCTATTGCCATAGAGAACTCGTCATTTATTCCTCAGCTTGTGTGGCCCACTACGGGCGCATCTAGAGCTCATGGAACTACAACAAAATCCAGTGATCGGATTATCCCATAGTCTAATAGTGCAACACCTCTTTATATTCCTCCACCTCGGGAGGAAGGCGATGATGAAGGATGCGATGAGTTGTTGCCTAGCCATATGACACATAGATCACATGTTCCATCTGGACAAAAGACATGCATTATTGATCCGGCGTAACACGATGTTTGAGCGTCGCATTGGTTCAAACACAAGGACATCTCATAAAGATGGTGACTGCATGGCTGAAGACCAAGTGGATGTTAACATGCCCTTGCCTCAATCAGCCGTGACCAACAACGATAAGTATTGATGCCTCATTATCCCATTTAGGTGACCTATATACCATATTAAACCTAACCGATCCTTGGTCATTCCATGATTAACAGAAAATGCAAGACCCAACATTCAGGCTAAATGAACCACACTGATGACACCATTATTTGATGATTGTGAATGCATGGCTGAAGACCGAGTGGATGTTAACACGCCCTTGCCTCAATCAGACATGACCAACAACGGTAAGTATTGATGCCTTATTATCCCATTTAGGTGACCTAATTATATACTAGTATAATGCATGTGCTAACGCCGCGGCTTTATCCAGGGGATGCACATGAAAACAATCAAAAATATTTTTTTTCCATAGTTCAACGCCATTGGGTAACTTTTTCATTATTGTGTAAACTGATACACAAGAAGACAAACAATGAGAGGGACAAAACTGAATATCGATTCATGTTTTAGCAGGATGGTTCATATACACAATTTCTCTACCATTCTATTAGCTGGAACTAGAAGCCTGGAAAGAAAAATCAACACGAGATATGCAAGAACAAAGACGAAAGAAGAAATCAGGAGCCAAAACCGTTCTTCGCCAGTCGTGCCACCGGATCATTATAAGAATGCGTCTTGAGATAATTGAAGCGTGCCCGACAACCTTGAGTGGCCCCTCCATTGCGCCTTAAAATAATAAATTTTAGGTGCATATGTGTAACACCCTAAAATTGGCTCTTTTCAAAAAAAATATAAAATTGATTTAATTTTGTATTTTGTGCTCATGAAATATAGAGAAAAAGAATATTTTTCATTATATTAAAATTCATCATAAGGAGTAGCAATATGGTTGTGCAGATATGCCAGTGCATTTGATTTATTGCTGGAGTGGTTTGAATCAAGATTCAAAATTGTTTGAATTGCTTTTGAAAATAAATTAAAAATGGCTTCGAAGTAAAAGAAAAGAAAGAAAAAGAGAATTGGAAAATAAAAGAGTTTAAAAGGGTTGTAAAATTTATTTTTGGAAGCTTATCAAAATTGCTTATTTTATTTGAATTGAAAAGTATATTTGAAATTATATTTGAATTTGATTTGGATCATATTTGAATTTGGATTGAAAAAGGAAAATAGAAAACACTCCCTCTCCCCTTTCTGACCCAGTGGCCTGCCCCACTCCCTCATTTTCCTATGGCCCAGCTCTTTCCCTTCCTGCGTAGAGCACCAGCGCCCCGTGGCCTGTTTCCTCTCCTCCCTTTCTCCTTCTTGGGCCGACCTAGGCCAAGGTCCGCGCAGAAGAGCGCCCCGCCCCTCTCTCCGCGCTCTAGCTCGCTGACACCGCCCCGCTCTCTCACTCGCTGCCACCCTAGGTCCGCTTGTCAGCCGTCTCCCTCCTCCAGCTCATGCCCGAGCCGGACACCACCGCCAGTGAGTCCGCCTTCGCCCCGCGTCGTTGCCTTGCCTCCCACACAATCTCCCGGCCATAAATACCGAGCCGCACCGCGCGCCGCCTCCCTATCTCGCTCCAGAGACGTAGCCGCCTCGCCGAGACGCTGTTTCATCGCAACCCTAGCACCGCCGCCATTACCATCCACCGAGCCATGCGTCGCGCCTCTTCCATGCCTCCACCGCCGATGCTAACCCCCTTGGTGAGTTCGCCTAGCCATCCTCGCTCTCTCCGTAGTCTTCCCGTGTCCAATGTTGGCCTTAATCGTCGTATCGACGATCACCGACGAGGAGCCGAGCACCTCCGGCCATGGTGCCGCAGCAGGAGCGCCGCTCCGACGACCCCCATCTCCCTTCTTTCTATCTCGGCCATCCGATCTGTGATTTACGGCCTAGATTAGAAGATACCGATTCGCCTGCTATTTTACTAAAGAGTCCCTATGGTTTTAGATATTTGAACCCGTCATCCCTACCTTTTTTTCTAAAGAGCCCCTGCCCTTTTTATCATGCCCGCAGTCCCTAGCTTAGTTTAAATTCTGATTATATTAATTTAAATTTGAAAATGAATTTCCAGCTATTTACAGAAGTGCCACTAACCTTGTTTTAGCCATATCTTCTCTGTTTTAACTCCGATTTGACCCGTTCAAGCTACGTTAGATTCGTAACGACGTAATATACGTATTAGTGGTATTGTTTAACATGTTTAAAGCTTTTGAATAAAATAATAATTTGATTAATCTATATGTAATTAGTTTTTCAATTGAAAGTAATTAGGGTTTTTTACCTATGTCTTTTGTAAATAAAATAAGATTAATCTTATGCTGGTTTTCTAATACAAATATAATTTGGCTTAAAACAATTTAGATATTCTTATATATGTTTTATAATTAAAATAAATGGAGCCTATAGTTTTTTTCCATGTATAAAGCAAATCTATCGGTAGATGTATCTTTTTCACCGTAGCTCTCGATTAGCGTGTTTTTTTGCGTCTATGTGTTCATAGCAACGTGTAGAACATCTTTCAAACCTTTTCACTTGTTGTTTCATATGTTTGGTGTACTGTTCTAATTTAGTTCTATTGTTTGTTTCGTATGTGATTGTATGGATTCTTGTGTGGTGCTTTATGATCATGTCTATTCGATGAGCTATTCGTGGTGAATCAAGAAGCAGATCTTTTATAGATCTCGACGAGATCTACAACTTTATAGTTTTGAGTTTTTTCATTTGAAGTCGTTAAGATGCTAAAAAAAAATTAATAACATATTTTAACTTAAGGGCATTTTCGTCTTTTTTGCAGTTTGGCGGCGTTAGAGCTGAATCGATTTGAAGTGGCATGGAGGACCGAAAAAGTTAAAGTACTAGCCCGCGAAGACCGCTGAAGTGGCATGGAGGGCGATCTTTTATAAAAAGTTGGAGTAAGTCTCGTTAAACCAAACCAAGCCAACCATTTCAGAGTTCCGCCCAATCCCACCCAGACCATAAGTGTTTTCCACCCAAACTGATCAATATTTTGGTTTGAACTCACGGTTTATAGACATTCCATTAAACGGATTACTACGATGATGCCTGGCTGCCTGCAGAAGGCGTCGTAGAGCCTGCAGATTCCCATCCACCCACTGAAGCTCTGAGCGGCCGCACTTGGCGACCACGAAGGTCTGCAGGGTGACGGCGCCCACGATGGCCATCTCATGGTGTTGGTCGAGGACGGCCTGGCGACGCTAGGTTGCTGGCCATGGCGGCAGCAGCACCACGACGTCCGCGCAGGATTCGGGCATGGCGGCGGCGGTACCACGGCGTCTGCGCATGATTCAGATGCGGCGACTGTGCAGGATTCGGATACGGCGGCAGCGTTTAGCTTAGAGACCAGGACCTCGTATGCGAGTACGCGACCAGGTCGGACACCTGGGCGAGCTCCTTCATGTGCGTGTCCCAGACTCCCAGTAGGCGGCGGCGGACTCATCCTCTCGGCACTTATCGGGGCTCGTGCGGTAGCTGCCGCTGCCGTAGTAGTCATCCTCGGCGGCCACCGCATTGCCCTTGAGGAGGTCCTCGGACTTTGCGAGCAGCTGGGTGAGCAGCGCAGGGCTGTACGCTGCGTCCAGGAGGTCCCAGGAGAGCTCCCGAAGGGGTGTTTCTACGACGGAGATGGGGATCAGCTGCTGCTTGTCGCCGTATAGTTCTAGGCTCGGTGACAGTCCAAACCCAACCAGTCCATCAGGATTCTTAATCCATTCTCCCATTAAAACCATTTAAAATCAAACCATTACCAGGTTGACTGCTAGTCTAGTCTAAACTGTAAACTGAAATTCATGTCATCGTCAGGCAATTAAATTCCGAAGTCTCGAACCCATTTGGAAATGAAATTCAGAAGTTTCGAATCCATGTGTGTGCATGGCTGGAAATCAAAAGCTAGAAAGTGAATCGACCTGGATCTGGAAGAGTGTCCAACTGAGCGATCTCCTGGACGTGTGGTGACGTCTCGTGGTACCGGTGATGAAGTTGGTGCTGGAGATCGGCCGGTTCGGGTGAGGTCTACGGGAGCGCGGCGGTGAGGCCCTCGTCGAAGTCAGCGCGCGCGTCGTCGGCGCCCCGGTGGCAGGGCGCGAGCTTGGCCTCAAGGATGAGGCGGCGGAGCTTCCTGAGGTCCCCATGGCGTGGATCTGGCCGGGGGAGAAGAAGGGCGCGACCGCCTCGTCGTGGATCCGGCTGCAGGAGAAGAAGGCCGGCCACCCCATCGTGGATCCGGCGGCATGCGGTCAGCGGCTCGGCGTGGCCGGCACGCCTGGCCTGGATGGCGTCCCCGGAGCCTAATTTTTTACGATTTAACTTTTTTTTTAAAAAAAAATTACGTTTGATCTCCTGAAAGATTTAAACTTATCTTTGTTTCTGGGATCGGCGCCATAACTTATGACGCCGAGATGCCTGGCCCGCGTTGACGTGGCCGGTACTCAACGCCATAATATATGACACCGAGGTCGGACACGCTGATGACCGGCAGACTGAACAGTGCTCGTCACAAAACTGGCTGGCCGATGAGTGCTGGTGCATCTGCCTGCGTGCCTTCCTCCACTCCTCTCTCTCCCATACATCTCCCTGGCAGTCCGTGGCGCGGTCAGACGCGTGCGATGGCGTGATCAGTGCTATAGTGGCGCGCAGAGGCGTGAGCGACCGAGTGGGCAGCGATGGGACGAGGCAGAACGGCGTGCGGGGCTCAGGCACTTGAAAGTTGTCTTTGGCGTCGGTGCCTCGGTGGTGCAGACGCATCGGCCCCACTCCAGTCCTTCAGTTACTCCCCTGGTACGAGTGCTGACTGACTGCGACGCGTCGGTCCTGCCACCAGCCTAGCTGCGGTGCAGCTGGACAATGAACACTGAGCGCGCGTTTAGTTCGCGAAAAGTGCGAAATTTGGCTACTGTAGCAATTTCGTTTTTATTTGGTAATTAGTGTTCAATCATGGACTAATTAGACTCAAAACGTTCGTCTCGTAATTTCCAACAAAACTGTGCAATTAGTTTTTATTTCGCTCACATTTAACGCTCCGCACGCGTCTGTGCAAGATTCGATGTGGACTAGATCTGTGTAAAGACTTTTTAAAAAACTTTGCAAAACTAAACAAGGGCTGAGACCTCAGAACGGCAAGAGTGGGACAATGAACAACTGCCCACTACACCGTCAACTATCAACAAGACTGTTAGTTGGCAACCATATATATGGTTTAAAACTTTTGCCTGAATAATCGACATGTGCGCGGCTGCATCAGGCATTCAGGCATACAACGGTGAGCAATGGTCTATGCGTTGCACTGCACGGATACGAAAACATATCCCGCGTTACCGGGCCATACGGTGTTACCGTGTCACCAAACAAGGTAGCACCTAACATAGTTACACAAAAAGTTGCAACAAAAATACAAATGGGTAGAGAATGCAAACATCTACGTATACATGCAAAACTTGAGATGCAATACAAATACGTGTGGAGATAAAGAAGTAAAATCAACACATGAAAAGTTACGGGCGCAAACAACTTGCCCTTTTGCCCATACATAGTAGTTAAGCCCCCAGGGTAACGAACTTTCTAGGTGTTACTATCTTGATATACAAGTGGTGTGAATATTATATTGCTAAAAATGCAGTTTGTAGTTAGATAATACAAGGGCATTCTGTTCGAGGTGAACTCGATTAACCTCGTGAAGGGTGGTTACAAATAAGATGTAGCGGACAAGCACATGCATTCACCCTCTTCTGTCAGATATTTTCGCAGTAAAAAAAACGTAAGAAAAGGTGACCTTCCCAGTGTCATCTATATGACTATATCTATCTTAAGTTACTGCAGGTTAGAACAAGACAACGCCAAACCACCTAAATCCTACTGAACCAAGTATTATACGTACACTGAAGAACGAAGGAACCTTTAGTTCATGTAAAATCGATCCGGATACAGCGGCATTGCACATCAAGCCAAAGTCAACTTTCAAGTGCCTGAGCCCCGCACGCCGTCCCGCCTCGTCCCATCGCTGCCCACTCCGCCAGCCACGTCTCTGTGTGGTACTGTAGCACTGACCACGTCATCACTGCGCCTGACCGCGCCACGGACTGCCAGGGAGATGTATGGGAGAGAGAGAGAGGAGTGGAGGAAGGCACGCAGGCAGATGCACCAGCACTGCTCGGCCACCTAGTTTTGTGACGAGCACAGGAACCGAGGCAACGCGGTCGCCCAGTCTGCCGGTCATCAGCGTGTCCGAGGTTGGCGCCAAGATCTGTGGCGCCGACCTCGACGCCATGTATTATGGCGCCGAGGTATCGGCCACGTCAACGCCACGTAGGATCTCGGCCAGGCACTTCGGCACCATGAGTCCTAGCGTCGACCTACAGGATCCAAAGATGAGTTTAAGTCTCCCAGAGGGCCAAACGTAAATTTTCTTTAAAAAAAATCAAATTGTAAAAAAATTAGGTTTCTGGAAAGGAGCGGAGTCGGCATGGGAAGGTGCGAGGATAAGGGAGTCGATATGGGAGGGGAGGAGCGGACGGTCAGCCTCCGCTCTCCTGTTTCTCCTTCAATTTCTTTTTCTCACTTAAGTTATAAACCGTCATATATTAGGGATTTCTATGATGATTTCTTAAAACGTCAACGCTAATCCATCATGTATCACCATATTTCTTGTAGTGAAAGTGCACAGCGAGACCAACTGGTCTAGCGTTCGCTTGCAATGAATCATATCCATTTCTTATATGATATACTTAAATCGATCGTTTGTTCTGTTGCTACTTTTATCCCACCGGGATGACATGCGTAATGAATCATACATAGTAGAAGCTTGTCATGTTTATGCATTGAGACTAATTGCACAACACATCACTGATCCTATACACTTGAGTTCCATCTAAAATGGGGACGGATGAGCAAAGCATGGGAGAGTTCGATAGCTCAGTAATATGATGGATCGTGGATGCAGGAGACTTTCATGTTTGATCCTGCATTACACCATTGCATATCTTATTTGGCCTCCCTCGTCCCCCAGTCCCAGCTCCGTCCCCGGAGCTGCAGACAGGAAGCGCACTTGCTAACACAACACAAGTCATCGTCCAAAGCTCACACAAGCCGTCGTCCAAAGGGCGTGGCACCGGCACCAGCTCGACCTGGAAGAGCTTATCGATGCCGACAGGCAGCTATGAAACTGATGAACACCGCACTAAAACTCAAACCATGGTGCACCGGGATTCAGGAATCAGGAACAGCATAAAAAAAATGCTACAATGCTTAATAGATGACATTACTTCTAGCAGCTCTGATGTTCCACCAAAAGCGAAGTTGAGGATATACAAAACTAAACAGGCCCACCAATCAGAAGTTATCATTCTAAAGCGCACCCGGATCCATCCAAGAGTATAATTGCTCATCAGAAAGTACTAAAATAAGTGAGTTCAGTGTTTATCAAAACACAATGCCAAACTTTGTCTACGTCGAAACATGGATCTGCAAGAAACACTAGGAAAACACAATAGCAAACTGTCTTTATCGAGACACTAGTAAAACACCAATGACAAACTTTATCTTTATCGAAACATGGATCTACAAGAAATTCAGAAACCTTGACGGGAATCCTATGGTTCAACCTTCATCACCTCCTCCCATTGCCCATCTGACCCTTCCTTCCAGAGGGTTATGTTGTTCTCACCGGCTGCTATGGACAATATGTTCCCAGTCAATGACCAGGACACCCTCCAGACAGGGGAACCAAAGTCACGCATGAGCTTTCCCTCCCACTTGTCTCCATCCTTCCCCTTGGTCCAGATGACAACCTTCCCGTCTTGCGAACCGCTGGCAATGGTCGACTTGGCCAATCCCAAAACCGGTGCCCATGCGACATCCCTCACAAAATCTGTGTGCATGTCAGAGATAAGAGCACTCTCCAGCTTCCAGCTACCATTGTTGAATCCCCAGACCTTAACAACAGAGTCAAACCCTCCTGAGACGAGCTTGTAAACAAGCTCCCCTGCACCAGCTAGTGAAGCTGTTGCAGGAGCCCAGGATATGGCAGTCGCACCAACAGGATGTGCTCGCTCAATGGTTGAAGTATCCCAACCCCCATCTGCTCGCATCGTCAAGATGGATATTCTTCCACCAGAAGATGCACAGGCAAGGCACAGGCCAACCTCATACGGAGCCCAAGCAATGGAGTTAACAGATGACTTTTGGTCACTGAACACATGGACTTGAGACCAATTGCTCCGTGCATCCTCCTTCCAAATAATGACATGGCCATCATAACTGCAGGATGCAAGGATAGCACCATACTTTGGATGGGCCCACGCCACACGCCACACAGGACCATAGTGGCCACTAAGCGTTGCAAGGACCTGGGATGGGGCATTTGCCGCACCAATGTTGACGATCTTCACAGTAGAGTCTGAGGAAGCAGTGGCAAGGCGCTTGCCATAGTAGTCGATGGCAGAATCATGGACAATGTCCTTGTGATCCAACTCTATCTTCTTTGATGACATGTTTCCAAACTGAACTATGCTGCTGCCTTGTTCACAAGTCTGCATGCAATTAAATTAAATCATCAGTATAAATACAAAAGCATAGCCTGTTAAACTGACAATTGGACAAATTAAATCTCAATTGCATGAAGGATAGGCAACTTGGTGCTAACATTGGTAACAAATTTCTAGTTTAATTAAATAAGCAAGCTTAGCATCAACTCTGAAAACCAGCAAATACTGCATATCAGGGGAAAAAAATGTTCATGAGCCATGACATAATAACATAAATCTTGAGTGAAATACATAACATTTAGGAGATAGTACCTAGGAAGATCCTGTGCAATTAACATGAAAAAAAGGGGGTTCTGAAACTTCTTTTGGCAATACAAATGAACAGCTTTTTTGGAATAAGAAATCTACCATAAGCTAGCCTCGTACACAATATGTAGAAATAGGATGGGATCAAGAAGTGGCACCATGATGAGCTAAAATAGGACTAAGAGACCTTGCACAGTTGAACAACAAAATATCAAATGTTAAGCATGTTCAGGGCAACACAACAAAAATAAAACAATTGGATAGGTTGGGGTGACATAAGCAGCTTCATTTCACAAGTGTAACACATCAAAACAACAAATTAATGATTGCATATTTAGTGCTTTCCTCTTTTTGTTTCATACCACACCAGATCCTACAGCAGGGCAAAGCAGAGCAGGGACACTGCTTGTGTTAAACAGAAACATGAACAGTATGATTGGATCCTCTTGAAATCTAAAGTTGAAACATTCCATAGCAAAGCGAGGCGTTTTGAAGAACCAATACAAATTATCATGCATGGAAAACTAGCTTTCGTACAGCCTATCCGCACAAGGTGGCCAGCATGAGCTAAACAAGCAATCATGGTTGCTATCATCCAGACTGTTCGGCTATGGTTCAACACATCAATGAGTTGTTACTGATCACATATATGAGGCTATTAATGTTTGCCATGTTCCATGCAACAAACTTTTGGTCTCCCATAATTCCTTGAAGAGCTATATTCGATTGGCTAACATGAAGTTGGGGTTAGGATTACTGGGGGGGACTACAAATAGGCTGTAGAGCTCATACTTCAGTTCAAGATTTTCATGTTATTAGGTGAAACCAACAGATAACCTTGCTCCTTCCTACATAACCCCTATTGTCTAGTGTCCCCTTTACCCGGGTAACCAAGCATGGTAAATTGAAACCCCAAGCAAGAAGCAATGGCAAAACAAACATGTCTCTATTTCATGATCATTGTCCAGCTTACTTAGAGCAAATTTACAAAAATAAAATCACAAGTATAATTGTCCTAGTCTTTACTGTAAGGGATATTCATCTCAAGTTCACAACTTCTACTCAATATCCTGAATCAGGTAAGTTTACAATCGCGTGCAACATTCGAGATGCTCCTGTGTCGATGCTTTTTTTGTCTAATGTTTTTAAAATGTACAGACCTCCAACTGAACAATGTACTATGAACTAGCAAGTAGCCAAGTACCTACATGAGGAGAGAGATAATATTTTCAAGCTTTGCTATTTTACAACCACTAAACCATCAATCCTGTCATATAGTTCAGAAATATTTATCTGGCAACCACCGATCCTTGTTCAATGCCAGAACTTGGCATTTGTGTCAGGATTCTGAACAGTTTGCTCTATTCAGGCCCTGTTTGGTTTGGACCTCCTAAACTTTAGTCACCTAAACCAGGGACTAAACTTTAGCCCTACCCTGTTTGGTTCCAGGGACTAAAGGGCATTAAAGCTACTATACAAAGACCAAAATACCCTTCTATCTTTTGGCAAGGGGGACCTGGAGTGCATTGATGAGGGGCAGCCCCTGTACTTTTGGCCTTTTACAGCTGTTCGCTTGCTCGTATACGATCGTGGATTATAAGCTAGAACAGTATTTTTCTCTCACACCAAACCAGCCAGCAGTAAATAATCCACGATCGTTTACGACGAAATGAACAGGCTGTTAGTCCCTTCTATTCTAGTCACAATTTGGTGACTAAATGACTAAAGGCCTTTTAGTCCCTTTTAGTCATAGTGTTTGGCTCCAAAATGACTAAAAGGGACTAAATTTAGGTGACTGAAGTTTAGGAGGCACAAACCAAACAGGTCCTCAGTCATTCAGACTTCCATTCAGAAAGCTACAGAGCAAGCCATCAACCCATCTTAACTCTTCACTGATTTCAATATGAAGCGTTGAGCAGCCATCCAATGGCCCCGTTTTAATTCATGTCTTTACCAGTGCCTAAGCGGCTAAGTGTGCTTTCGTGTAATTTTCCTGCTTACCTGATCAGTACCCTAAAGATCTCATGTAGAAGTAGATGAGATGAACTCTTGAAAGAACTAGATAGAGTTGTAGCACCTAAGGAGTCGTCATGGATGGGCTTGTAAGTGGTTGAATCTTCAGTTATCAGTAAAGTTGGCTACTACTCCTCGCACATCGAAGTTTTTTCCTCTGTGCTTCATAATTCCTATTTTCCCCAAATTGCTTTGCGCCTCACAAATCGGGGCTGTAGTTGCTCTGATGTGCAAGTTACTATAATTGAGAGTGGATGGACTTTGGTATATTTTGCTCTTCATTCAGAGACTCATATTTCTTCTGGAACCAATAACTCGTGTTTATAATCTCTTGCAACAGGAAACAGGGAGACGAGATCCCGCTGGTATAGCAGGATGCTGATGCTGAGGGGCAGCACCGAGGATGAGGGAGAGCGTCGCCGGTGTGGGAGATGGACAGAGGGAGGGTCACGGCCGCCGAGATCCAGATGCGGTCGCCTCTTCTGTCGCTGTCCCTCCGTGATTCCGATCCAAATACCGTGCCGTCAACCGAACGCACGCTAAGCCACTGATCAAGCGCAACCAGATGGCGGACTCAATTTCACCCCCCACAAATCCTGAAAACTAAACCCACACCAGCGCAAGCAGAACTAATCCACACCAGCGCAAACAGGGTGCTGAAGATCAGATCCTCCCCACCACAGAGAACGATTCGGACATCTAGGGTTCCGCAGCCGCAACACGCAAGGAGAAGAAGATCCCACAGAACGAAACAACAAGCCGTCAGTCACGGAAGGATAGCGATTCCATACATACCAGCAGAGGGAGACGAGGTCAGAACGGCGGGCGGATCTCCGCCGCTCGCCGACACGGAGGGAGGACGCCAGAGGGTGCCTGAGACGAGGTGGAAAGCTCCCCGCCGCTCGCCGGCACGGAGGAACGATGACGCCGGTGGGCGTTAGCGTTAGATGGGAGAGAGGTGGGGAGCGGTGCCCGGGTCGGGAGATCAACGCGGAGGGTGCGTGCGGCGTGCGGCGTGCGGGCAGAGAGGCTCGATCGGTCGACTACTCAACTCGGTTGGGCTGAGCCGGATGTACCAGGGTCCAGGAGTGGATTGGAAATATCCTCACCGTACGAATCTCCTTCCCTTTTCTACCGTAAAAAGAATAAATGTGAATTTTTTTTTGACATTTGTTTTGATTCGCCAATCTTTCCACGCCTGTGATCCCACAACATCTTAATTACTGATTGATCGTGTCATTCTTCATGATTAAATATTGCCTATCATGTGATAGAGGAATCACGGCAAAATAGGAAGTAGAAAATTATTGTACTATCCATATACACATTGCATGTTTGCATGCACCAGCATACGTAGCAACGAGAAAAAGAAAGAGAATTAAGATAAAAGGAACATCTTTGTATTTCTGAGAACCTTGCCAAATCTGTCTACATTTAATTACTTTCCCTATTTGCATTTGCAAAAGGGGCAGTTTTTTTCTCCTTTCATTTGGTTTCACGCTCACGTGTTCCATCGCCCTCGCTTGCTATTTCTTGTGTGAACCATAGTTGATGTCATCTGTTTTCTATGGCTCAGCCTCCCAATCTTAAGAGAAGGTCTCTATCTCTCTCTGACTGGAGATCCGGCCTGCTAGAGGATCTCCTCGAGTCCATCGGGCAGCGTCTTGGACAAGACTTTCTCAAAGTGTGGATATTTTTTGGTGCGATATTTGTTTTGGTTCGTCCGTCTGCCCATGCCTACGATCCCACGACATCTTAATTACTGATTGATCGTATCATTCTCCTTGATTGAATATTGTCTGTCATGTGATAGAGGAATCACGATAAAATAGAAAGTAGAAAATTATTGTGCTATCCATATACACATTGCATGTTTGCATGCACCAGCATACATGGCAACGAGCACAAGAAAAGAGAATTAATACAGAAGGAAAAAGAATTAAGACAAAATAAACCTCTTTATATAAAGGAACATCTTTGCATTTCTGAGAACCTTGCCGAATCTGCCTATATTTAATTACTTCTCCTTTTTGCATTTGCAAAAGGGGCAGCTTTTTTCTCCTTTCATTTGGTTTCACGCTCACGTGTTCTATCGCCATCGCTTGCTGTTTTTTGCGTAAACCATAGTTGATGTCATCTGTCTTCCATGGCTAAGCCTCCCAATCTTAAGAGAAGGTCCCTACCTCTCCCTGACTGAAGATCCGGCTTATCAGAGGATCTCCTCGAGTCCATCGGACAGCGTCTTGGACAAGACATTCTCAAAGTGTGGACATTTTTTGGTGCAATATTTGTTTTGGTTCATCCGTCTGCCCATGCCTACGATCCCACGACATCTTAATTACTAATTGATCGTGTCATTCTCCTTGATTGAATATTGCCTGTCATGTGATAGAGAAATCACGACAAAATAGAAAGTAGAAAATTATTATGCTATCCATATACACATTGCATGTTTGCATGCACCAGCATACATGGCAATGAGCACAAGAAAAGAGAATTAATACAGAAGGAAAAAGAATTAAGACAAAAGGAACATCTTTGCATAAAGGAACCTCTTTGCATTTCTGAGAACCTTGCCAAATCTGCCTATATTTAATTACTTCCCCTCTTTGTATTTGCAAAAGGGGCAGCTTTTTTCTCCTTTCATTTGGTTTCACGCTCACGTGTTCCATCGTCATCGCTTGCTG